TGCTTCAAGAACTATACAAAATTCAATTGGCATGACGATAAACCTAAAAAAAAGTCAACAGATATAAAAGACATTGTATGTCTGTCTTCTGACCATCTGTCAACTTTCGGTTACTCTCAGTTAATAAGCACACTTTTTTTTAGAAATTGCGCATTCATTTGACTCATTTAATTTCGAGGCGAAGATCTAAAGTTTGCAAAATTCAGATTTAATTACCGTGGACCCCCGGTACCCTGGCCGTTTTTAATCTTAATACTTTTTAAATTGAACCCCGCTAATCTGCACACCGCGCAAATTGAAAATTGCTCAAACGTCATTCAAGTCATGGTATGGAGTAAAACAAAATGGAACATTGTGAAACGTAACGAATAACAAAACAAAACAGTTAATAAGGCTCATCAAAGTTAGTGGAGGTCCACGGTATAATGACTCGACATTCGTCAAACCAACATCAAGAATCGGAACACTACGATGTTTCCTTCAATATCGAGGTATAGAGAGATGATTGTAGGGTAATATAGGATATGATGCACCCCCAGGGCAAGATGACTTGTGGCTAACTTTGAATATATTATCAATATATTTTCGTGGATTTATAAATAAGGTAAATAAGGTAAATAAGGTATCTTAAACGCCAAAAAATCATTTTTCCCCGGGATTGCATACTACCGCATTTTACATTATACAGTATCATATACCTGTGTTCAATATAATAGCAGCGCATGCCGATTTCCATACAAAATGGTCAACTTTGACATGATGTAACTTTGTTCTCTTAAGATCAATTGAGCTGAAACGTTCGCCACAGAACTACAAATATGTTCAATTTTACGATTAAAAAATACCAAATTTTTAATGGCACCTGCCGGAAAGTGAGACACTAGGTAAAATTGTTCAAAATAATAGCAGTACCAAGGGGTAAGTCACTCAGCACATTGTGCCGAAATTAGATTCGGCACAGCTTGGGAATATCCATCGGCACACGTTTGGCACACCTTCGTACTCATTGGATTGTTGTAAATAAAATTGGACCACTGCTGTACAACTCACATTTCATGCTGTTTGACTGTATATTTAGGAACATCCTTCAATTGAATATACCATAAGAACTCAGACCAGCAGTTCAAATATAGATCTAAATACGAAATGTAGGTTCTAGAGTAAGCTCAAGAGGAAGAGGCAGTTAATCAGATCCCATTAGTACCTTAAATTCAAATAATGCCTGCAACTCACACAAAACAAACTACAGAAGTCTATTAATGATACTCTATATAAAGAGAGAGTGAAAGATTAGCACATTGTAGACGAAATACGCGTATCTGTCAAGGATAAGCAAATAAGGTAGTGGAATTAAATGTAAATTACTAATCTCTCTCTCTCTCTCTCTTTTTATACAGGTATTCCACTAAGACGCCCACATTCAACAGGATTCATCCTCTATAGTCGGTCTCCAATAATGTTCCCCACCGGTTCCAACTCTTTCCGGCCGTTGCTTTCGCATCACGAAAGGCTAGGTTTCTGGTCTGCCTTTGAGGGCATTATAAAACCCTAAAACACAGGACTTTTATTATTTTGAGGACACAAAATACCATAATTTCGCACACCCGCCACTTCCCACGTCATCCTCAATCCGATTTATCATTACGATTTCGAACAAAAACATTCAAGGTTTCAGAAATACCGGGTTGCCGGGATGGTTATTGCCGTTTCAGTGAAAATAATTCGACGCATCTGACAGCCACAGCATGCTATTAAAGCTGATAATCTGACACCAAATGCTAGTTTTTCTTTGAATTGGCAATATTTTACAAACTATCGCAGCTTGCTCTATGACCGGCACAATCGGTATACCTGGGGCACACTGATAAAAATGAGGGCCCAAGATTGGTGTGCGGAGTGACCTACCCCTTGAGCAGTACTAATAATTTGCATTTCAGCTCAATTTTGAGATTTAAAAATTTTACATATCCCAAAATTCTAACAATCCCCACCCAATTAACAAATGTACATAATAGTTAAACTTGTTTAAAATATTTGCAGTACATAAAAATTCAAATCAAAAACTGCTATTATTTTGAAAAAAATTACCTAGTGTCTCACTTTCCAACAGGTGCTTCCAAAAATTTGGTATTCCGTAATCGTAAAATTGGACATATTTGATTGATTTGACTTTAATCAATTGATCATAAGTTAACAAAGTTACATCATGTCGAAGTTGTCCATCTTGCATGGAAATCGGCATGCGCTGCTATTATATTGAACACAACTTTAAATGACGTAGCATTTTAGGGTGATCAGCAATGAAGAAAAATACGTTACAGAGGGAGGGAACCTTAAACGTTTGTTTACGTTGGATGAAGCAACAACTTTAGACCTTCTCTCCCTTAGAGCATATTTGTCTATATGGCCGCTCACCGCAATATGTTACGTCATTTATGCTTCTTCCCTAATGACTTCTTCAGGTTTTCGATCACTATTTTTAATTGAATATGTTTCAAAAGAGTATTGTATAATTTTTTCCAGATATATTGCGCATTTCACACCAAATTGGACTAATAGGCGCGTTTTCACTTATTAAAAAGTGTGATAAAATTGCAAGTTTACGTCTAATCGTCTTGGTGTCTTCGGTGCACTTATTCCTTATGATGCAAGCAATAAGTGCTCCGAAGACATCAAAACGATTTGACGGAAACGTGCACTTTTATCACTCTTTTTGCATTTTTGGGACAGTCCAGTTTCAGATGCAATCAGCAATATATAGTGGCGTTTTAATTCGTTCCTACCACTGAAACATTTCAATGTGCTTGTTCTAGTTTTTTTAATCTCTTAAGAATAATTTTACAAGACTTTTTTTGAAGAATATCGTTCAGTAGCCATCTTTGGAAATTTGGCAATATCTGACAAATCTGCAAAAGGCTGTACCCCGTTTGGGATAATGCTTTTTGACTCAGTTATGACCGGATTTAGTGAGCCCCTCCACGCATCAGGCTTCTATCCTTGAATAATTTTTCATAACCGTAATTCAAAATCTTTTATATTCATCTTCTAGATGGATGTTAATGGTATACACTTTGGTCCAATAAGACCACTGAAAAAGCACATGAGTTTCGTAGAGTATAAGAAACGATTTTCAAAAAGGGGGCTGACAAAATCGGGTAATTAATGTAATACCATTTGGCATAATGGCTATTAGACATAACCGAATAAAACATTAATTTTTATGGAATATTACTGCTTTTAACTACGATTTGTTCTTCAAAAAAAAAATGTATTCAAAAGAAGGGAAAATATCCGTTAAACAATTACATTTTCTTCATTTGTTTTGATTATGAGCTGATCTTTCATATTCCCTTCAAACAGCCCAGATGGAAAAAAAAATATATTTATCGGTATAAACAAATTTGTCCACATATATGCTAAATGGCTTCATGTCAAACGGCATTATAAAAAAATGAGGTAGAGCGAGAATATATAGATCTTTTGTAAAAAAAAGCCCTGAAATGGAACAGGTCAGTTATCACATTTTTCGTATTTATACGGCCGTTAATGAATTCAAGAATGCAATCCTGTCGATGTGATTTCCAATACGGAAAGAGATTTCCACAGTCAGGTTGCACTTAAGAATTTCGCTAAGTTTGTATTTTTTTGGATAGTGTATCATTGATTTTTTTGATTTGGTCATTCTCAACTTGAAATTTACGCATACAGTAGACTTAGTACTCTATGGAATGATGACTTCATATGTGCTTAAGTCGTAAATCAGGTTTACCCATATCGTTAAACTTGGTTTAAGGCTTTTTTTTCCTCTGTTCGGGACATAATACCACTGCGACCAGTAATTTGATCTATTGTAGTATATCCCGTGTCCTTAGTTCAGTGCATGTCGTATTACTCCATCACTTTTGAGAAATGATGAAGTATTCGATTTTTTACAGTTGTCATTCTTGCATTTATCGCAAGGATCCGACTCTAATTGAAAGGTCCCGCTATTTATACCTTTCGGAGTGTTGTAACACCCTCCAAAGGCGCGCCCCTTTGTCAGTCAAAATTGGATTCCATAGCAACAAAATTGTTCCTTGTGTCAAGATCATCCTTGGTCCAGGCCACCCGTGGACTTATCACAATCAACAAGGCATAAAAAGTAACAAGGACTAAGACTTCCTATAGTTTGAAGTAGTTAAGACTAGGAATCGGTGGTAGATCTTACATCCCGTAACGTACCACGAAAAGGTGATCTACCCACGTTACGGGGTTGGTTAAGGGCTTAAGCGGAGGAGAAGAAATCGGTCCACTTTTACACAAATTAATTGAGAGTTTTCTAAGACTGTGCATTTTTTGTATCTGTATCGTAGCCAAAGATACAACTCAACTTAGACTGCATGCAGCATTTTTAGTTTGGAAGAACCGTTGGATTTGAACAGTTCAGATAAACAAGTCAATTTATGTATTAAGGTTTCCTTGTAGTTCTTTTACTTATCACACTTCGCAAATTCAAAAGCACACATCTCATGATTTAGGTATGTAAATCGTAAATTAAAAAAAAATAACTTCTCCGCAGCAAATAACACGTAGTATTCCCAAAAATCGTAATATTTTGACTAGTGAAATTGCGAAGTTGCGAAAAAGAACTCTGCAAGGGTTCATCAGCTTCACATTTGGTTGGGCCTAAACTCAACTTCTTATTACAGAATATATAATAATGTTCATAACTGACTCAGAATCTACAACTTACTCTCTGAATTCAGAATGTAAGATGTTCTTACTAACATGCTTGGCATACACAGTTTTGGTCACGAACTGCTCATTTGCTTATAACTTTGCACACAGTTGACGAAACATAGTTCTTTTTAAAGTAGTAGATAGAATAGAGTTCAATAGATAGAATAGAGTTGTTATAAATACGTAAAAAAGTAGATTTTAATTCTAGTAATAAACTGTATTTGTTTTTGCCTTGTAAAAATGAAGTGCACATCTCGTACTTTAAGTGTTGTCAAATGTTAAGATTCACCTAATCTATCAATTACTTTAAAGAAAACCAAATTTCAAAAGTTATTAACAAATGAGCAGTTGGTGTGTACAACTGTGCATGCTAAGCATGCTTACTAAGAACTGACTGTTTAATCGTTGCGTACCAAAAATATTTAGCCTAGAATGTTAGATATTGCTTCCATTTCGTCATTTTTTGTCCGATTCTGATGAAACGGGTTGCAATCGATCATGAAATGCTTCTAGTTTAACATTTTTTTAATGTTGCGCGTAAATTGATTTTTTTTAAGGATTTAAACATTGTATGGGGTCAAAATCTATTTTAAAATAAAAGGTTTGGACCCTACGCATTTTTTAAATATTTAAAAATTTAGCAAAAGTCCACTTAACCGTGCAAAAATCAAAAACTAAAACCAATTCGTGATCGATTGGAAGTTGTTTTATTTATATCGGTAAAAGATTATAAAATGGGATCCATTTATCATTTTTTAGACGAAAAAACTTAGGTACGCATGGGTTAATCCTCATGTGAGAACTTAATTTGTTTTGGTTATATTTTTTAAATAACAAAAGGTATTCTAGATAACCATTCAGCAAAAAACACCAAAAATATATCCATGTAGGATATGCTGTTCCGCATAATTAGAGCAGCATAACAAATTTCCAAATAATTGTTGAATATAACTCGTTAAAAGTTAGTTGTATAAGTTGATTTAGATTGGTAGCAATGATTATAATCATAGTCACTACAGTATTGCAGTGGTTGATTAACTGAGTCCCTTTGCTGATCCAAACTAAGGTTGGCTAAATTACTTTTAATAACCGCAATTATCATATTGTCGAGTTGTTTTGGGACAACCTTTTACCAACGATTTAAATTCGAGATTTTTCAAACCAAGCATAAACAATAGCCGATTTTCTCGAGATAACTGAAGAAGCAAAAATCCAATTATTGTTCCACAGCAAAGATCTAGCGGTAGAAAACGTCATTTAAACTGCTTGGATTATGTGATCTATTCATGGAGGTCCTAATATCAGCAACCTATATTCGCAAGCCTAGTTCGCAGCAACATGACTGAGCATCTAATCAAAGTATTGCTTAAGCCTCGATGAGTTGAAACAGAAATTAACCCAATCAAGCAGTGATAAACCGCTCTAGGTACTGCTGTTAGGTGCATACATTCTTTTGGTGTGTCAAGTCTTCGCCAGTTTCTATATCTATACCTTATATAGTCAGGGGATAATAAAATCTTTATGAGTTCAATTTTGGTCCGACGATATTTTGAAACATGACTTTTATCAACCCTGACAATAAAATGTATCTATCTACTGACGAAGCCGTAATATCCTCTATAAGTAACTGAGTTAATGACTGTGTTTTACCACATGATTCTGTCTTTGCAGGTAGTTAATTCGCATTATTGATCCATTAGTTCTCTACCGTTACCCTTCTGAATGCAGATTCACTGTTACATTCCAGCGTTCCAATTCAAACTTTGTTTGTGTCTTGTTTTTACTTCTGTTTTGGTAAATTTATACTTGCATTTTCTTCTTGCATGCACTGCTTAAATATTAAGTAATAATTATGTATGTCCAATATTTATATTATAATTATCATACACACATATGCAAATCGATCAACGATCAACAATGTACACAAACTTCTTGATTTTCTTTGTTTCTCTCTCTCTCTCGTCACCCCTATCTGCAATATCTCCTTGCCCTTTTCATTTCTTCATCATCACGCATCTATTGCCACCCGGCCTGCTCGCTGTGTTTAGACCGGTGGCAACGCCCACAGCGTCGCCGTCTTGTCAGCGGACGTCGACAGGAATGAGAAATCTGTCGGATGCCAGCGACCCGATATCACCTTGTCCGAGTGCTGGGCGACCACGACCGAGGGCAGTGGCATCGTGAGATCACCCTGCAGGTCGGTTAGCACCAGCTTGTTATCATACCCGGCTGTCAGCAGGTAATACGCCGATGGGGAAAAACGAATGGATCTGCATGTGAGAGCATAGACATAAGCATATCATTTGGAAATGTCGTTTGTTAAGGTATACAATTTAACGCAAGGGTACATTACCTAACATCTGATGCATGTGGTTTGAAGCACTGGATCGGTCGGTTACCCCGGATGTCATACAGCACGCATGAACTGTCTTCATGACCTGAAACCAATAGCCGCCCGGAAGGATCAACACATACACCAGCCACTGGTGAACCTTGTCGAGAACCGGGTGACGTGGCAGGGGTAACCATATTGACGCAGCCACGTGTTCGCAGATCCCAGAACCGAACAGTTTTATCCTAAAAGAATATCATTAAAAATTTGACATTCCACTAATCAACCTTCATTGTTCATCATACCATCGATCCTGAGACGAACATCACACTGCCCCAGTTGTATAGCGATAGCACATGGCCACCGTGGCCGCTAAGGGCTTGGAATGGGGTAGAGGTTTCACAATCGGTAACGTAGATTTTGCAATCACCCGCACCGCCACTAATCAGCAGGCTGGACTTGTTAGATGTGTCCTCCAGGAAGCACAGATCTCGAACCGTTCCGTCATGCATCGTCAGTTCGATCTCTTGGCCTTCCAGTTGTTTTTGGGTTTCGTTGAAGCGCATCAGTTTCACGGTTTTGTCATTGGAACCGGTCGCTATAAGGTCACCCACCGGAGACCAAGCCATACAGTAGATGGAACCTTTGTGGTGTTTCGTTCGCTTGAACAGGACCGTTGGCTGGTAGGTGGTATGGTCTTCCCTGGAAGATGAATGGCATGGTTACTATATGATTTAAGGAAAATGCTATTGAAGTGATAAATAAGCATCGATAAATATTGCAAACATAAAATAGATTATGCAGTTGAATTGATTAGTGATCGCGTGATATCTATTTATTTAGTGAATTGTTGAAAAAGAAACTAAACAATACACCGTTCTTTTAAAAACACACTTTCATTAGATTAGAGCACACGGATAACATTAGCCACACATGGACACGGTTGCCTTAGGGGATATGACCAGTAACTGAAATTACTCAAAACTAGCACGAAACATAAGAAACCACAAATAATCACATCCTATACAGAAAGTCAAACCCAATCCGAAACATTTCACATTTCATTGGACCACCATGTCAATTCAGAACTCATCGCAGGCGGATGCAATTAGAAATTTATATTGTTAAACTGCCACTCATGGCAGTCGCGAAAGCCGCAGAAAATGCGTTTTATGTTTGCTTCATACCATCCTCAGACAACCAAAATATCAAAGTCGTTTCTGTGATTGAACATAAACTCGTAAAAAAAACGCATCGTAGGGGAAATGGCTCTAATGTTGGCTTTTGGATCTTAGATTGGGTACATGGCTGAAAATATGCTATTTATTAATTTTATCTAGATGAACGCGTCATTGGGTACTACATAATGGATATTTTTGGTTGCTATTGAACATTTAGTCGATTGCTGAATTTATATATGGGCCCAAATTAGGGGCATTCAGGCCGACATTACATCCATTTCTCCTATACAATAATACACAAAAATGGTTTAAACGTGCAAAAGTACAGAATATGTGCAATTTGAAAGTTTTGGATAATATTTTTATTGATTACTTCACCATACTTCTTTATGGGCACGAGACGTGGGCAATGCTCAAGAAGTACTCGCAAGGACTAAGTTTTTAAACGCTGTGAAACACTCAGAATTTGGAATTTGTCTAAGCAAGTCAAGTCTCGATAAGACACATAATCAGCAAAAATAGGTTAACCTAAGGTCCTTATGAATGTTATATTATTTAAGTTACTACAAATGCCACTGAAACTACTGAAAGCACCAAATTCGTCAAACATTACTGTTAACTAGTTTCCTACCCCAAAAGTTAATCAACACCATAATAAGTGCACAGGTTTAGCGAAACTGTGTTCATCTATACGTCAGAACCCAATCGATAATTGATTCCGATTGCTAGAAGGTTCTGTGAAAAGGCGCAGAGTACTGTGGATCACAAACAATTGAAACCCATCGGATATGCACCTCTATCCGACACTGATTTTGAAAATTTGACCCGAAACCATTCCGCTTGGAAAACATGTTATGTTACTTAAATGTGGACTGTAGTGATGTCATTCATAATTGTCAACATTTTCTAATAGGTATAATCCAAATTTATAAGAATATGTGATGATGTAGTACTATTTGTTAAATAAATGGCACTAATTGTAGAAAACATGCTATCTACCCTAATGCCGGCAAATGGACATATATTTGCCATACTCTCAAAATTAATTATCACAAAAAAGTAGCCAGAATTGATGATGTTTCGGAAAATCGCTTCAAACTAGATGATGATCGATAAAAACAATATAAAATATAATCGCTCACCAACTTGTACCACTTTCACATCTTTTACTGCTTGGGAGTTTCCAGTCGTAGTAGTATTAGTTTGATTGGAATTGCACAGAAAAAATACAAGAAAAGCACACAGGAGACAGACATGAGAAAAACCGCTGACGGCAAATTTTGTGTTGTCTCAGTAATTTGCCTTCTAAAAACCCTGATGGATGATGGTGAGTAGATGTGCAAAGATGCAGTTATAGTATTACTACTACTACTACTACTACTAGTGCTGTTGGTGATGTGTCAGAAGCGGTAATGAATAAAAGTCGCAGCCACTTAACGAGAGTCAACATCAAGTGCATTTCACGTGAGATGGAAAGTTGCAATTATGAAACCGCCACCGCGCACCGCGCCGTCGGCGTCGTCATTGTCGTCATTCGATGAGAAAACGCGCGTGCGGAGGAATAGCATGCAAGCAACAACTTTGGCAATCGTGGTGGAATGTGCTGTGCACTGGGCGTGTGGAACCGGCTAAATCTGGGAATGTGTGAGGAAATTTGGAAATGTGCCTGCTAAGACAGATCTTGGCGTAATGAACGAACTGGAGGCTAATTATGGGTAGTTGCAACATCGCAGTCAGTGCAATTTTTGGCACGAAGTGGTATTATGGTTGCAAAAAAGTTGATAGCAATGTAATGTGAATGGTGGAAACAAGGGTTTTTTTTTTATAACATTTGACATGGTTCAGCAAGAACAAAACAAGCCAAAATACAATGTGCGATCCATCCAAATGCGTTAAATCGACGGTGTAGCTTGCAATGAAGCAATTTTTGTGCGTGAAATAATTCGTGATACATATCGTGAGTCATGAAAGGTTTGGTTACGCAAGGCAAAATTGATCGTGACAGTCAGAGGTGAGACAAATGAAGTAATTTACCTGATTTCCGACAGTGGGGGGTACTCGCAAATTCGGAAAGTTTTCGAGTTGGAACCAACGGCATAGATTCGGCCATTGGGATGGAACTCCGCACATCGTACCGCCTGAACGTCCTCCAACGATGTCACGGCAACGAACTTCGGCCGGTTGTGGTCGGACTGCTGAAATTGAGGGAGATAAGAATAGTTGTCTGAGTATTGTTTTCATTTTCATTTTCATTTTATGATGTACAAGGGGGGTCAGGGGCCATGTCACCGATGTGAATATTCACACCATCCATAATACACCAGGGAATAATAGTATTGTTGTACGCATATAGGTCATTTTGAGAAGATGAGCTATATTTTCTCAAAGAAGTCATAAGCTTCGTAAAAGTTCCAAAATTCTTACCGAAATTCTGAAAGATTCTCTGTGAATAATCAATAGAAATCACAGACTTCCAGTTTTGCGCTCAAGCTAGTTGAAAAAATCTACCCGTAAGAATTACTGATAATATTCATGTAATTTAAAGCATCGCTATTGGTTGTACCGTATTGAGCATACATACGGTATGCATAATGTAAAATCTTTTAAATATAATAATAGAGGTATAACATAATGGACGTTGTGCTTGCACAACATAGGCAAAACATAATGGACGTTAGGCATAACATTTTATGCTATTTTTCTTTATTTTTAAAAGTACATCCTGTAAATTTGACCTAGGTTCGGGCAACTCAGTTTGCAACTACAGCTTACTCATACGATTTACTGCCCTGTGCGTCATAAATGTTCTGTAAATTAACCGAAAATTGCTGTTCAATAAATCCTTGCGATAAGGGGGTCGAGTGAGCGAGTATTGCGTAATATTTGGGGGAGGGAGTCTTGTTAAGCGTTACGTACTGTTGAATAGGGTGAGAGGGTCCAAAATCCATATGTTTTGCCTTTCGTAATTTGTGGACCGCGCCTAAGATGGATGAATTATCTTTTGTTTCTGCAACAAATTATCTTTTTTTAAAGTAGCCAATTTAAAAAAAATGTTAATATTTACTTCTAAATATTATTAATCTTCACAATATGGATTAGAAACTTGATGAACAGCAAATTAGTAATAGTGGGTATGACCACTTGAATAAAAGTGAAAATTTTTCTTCGATATTGTAGTTGGCATTTCTAACTGGTCTCCTCAAAAGTTGTGATACCACACTTTGCGCTTTTACGTTGTATCGTTTTGGTGTCTTCTACGCACACATTCATTTAATAAGTGCGCTGAAGACACCAACACGATTTAACGTAAAACGCAATTTTATTAGCGTTTCGGCACTTTTCATCGCACTTATAATGACGCAATGCGCTATAAGCTTTCCGCAAAATCCGCGCTGCAGAGTTATAAAACTCTACGCAGGCCTGCCTATAGTTAAATTCGGAAGCCTTATGAATCAACTCAAATCAACACAAACCGAATAATCTTCAGAGATGCAATTTAATGGGTCAATTCTTATAAGGCCCCATTAAGATTTCTCGTGCCCCGTAACGTGGGTTGATCGCCTTTTCGTGGTACGTTACGGGATGTAAGGTCAACCACCGATTCCACGTCCTGACTACTTCAAACTAGTGGAACAGGATTTTTTAGTAGTCAATGGAACACATCTTACTCCTTGTTACTTTGTATGCCTTGTTGATAGTGACAAGACTCGACTTTGACCACCGAGCATGATCTTGAAACAAGGAAAAAATGAGTTAGTTCGTCTTCATCTATGTGATTCCTAATCTTCTATTCGTTGTCCCATAGTTTGAAGTAGTTAAGACTAGGGTGCTGTTGCATGGTCATTATCGGTGCCATTGCTTAATTTTTGTTGCTCCCTGCGATTTGGTCAGATAGCGTCGTTGTGCCAATTTGGTCGTGGCACATTTCGAGTATGAGAGAGTGATTGCAGTTTGCTCAAAAGTGCCTGAGTAAAATGCAAGTACTTTCGATGATTACCCGTAGTTGTTACTGTGAAGATATACACCCATATTCTTGTTTATGTCTGGACGTGGTTGCCATACAGAAACATTTTGATTTGATTTTGTGTGGTGGATTGGTTTCGGGCGTGGACGGGCATATGGGTGATAATATTAAGTTTACGTTAGGATAACGTTGAAAAATTGAGAAATGTATCGCGTCAGTTTGAGAAGCACTTCACTTCGCAACCGATGAACCAATCTGACGGCCCACATTGCCGTGCAGGCACCGTGTGTTGGCAGGGTGCAATATTGGACAGTTTGATGTTTATAAAGTACCATCAGTTAAAACTGTATTTTGAGCTTTATATCTATACATTCTTAGGTGTTTCTTAGAAGATTATCATGTTGGTGTACGCTGATTCAAAGAGTAAATGGTGTTAAATAAAAAATAACTTTTAATGTAGGTTGAGAGTGAGACAATGTCACTGAGATATGGTTAGTTGGGTATTCAGACGACTATTACTTTAAAAAACTAATCCTGGTTGTATCTCTTTTTCGTTTGCATGTAACACTGTTTGATATTACTAACCGCACCGAGCCTTCATTCCGGGTAGTGAGCGAACCTGAAGAAGAAGAAGATGACAATGAGCCCCTTCTCGGAACGAGTGTATTGTTGATGGACCTGGTCTACGATTCAAGGTTGGATTCTGTGATGATGAGTATCACAAAAAACTACAAGGAACAGCCCAATGGGGTTGTACGCAATGATGACGTACACGCTTAAAAATAACTAATTTTACACGAGATTTAATCCATCTTTGATGTAAATTATGGAACGTAAACAAACATGTCATGTAAAATTGAGTGTTCCCAAAACGAAACATACGCAACTCGACGAAAAGTACGATTGATTGAATTTATTATCTCATTTCTTTCAACTGATTCTTATGTCATTTGGGCCGCTTGCATGTGTCGGTCTCAGGGCACGGAAATTTACATGACTTTTTGGTAGTGTGTAGGACTACGTGGTATGATATAATAAATATTTTTATTAACTGCAGCAGGAGCTTGTATTTTGTGTAGGGATAGGAATTTAAGCGGGGCTCTCTCTGTTTATACTCTTTAATATGACTATGATTGCCCTGAAAAGAACCTTTTGATATGAATTTTAGTTGGGACATGTTCGGAAAATTAACTCTTTTGGAAAATGTTGGTGGCCCTGAAAAGGGCTTTGAAAGATGATGATGACGTGCTGCGTGTTCAGGCAGCTGCGTGTTCAGTGACGGCATGACGGATCACATTTTCTCGGCACACCTCGGGTTTCCTTGTACATCAGACCGGAGATGAGCTTGACACCACCACATCGAGCCAGACGACAAATGGCAGGCCCTGGATGTTATCACACGATGACACCATATTTTCTCGCTTCCTATTGGCTATTCACAGTTACCAATGAGAAGTGAGAAAATATGGTATCGGCAGAGTTGGTTGTCTATATAACAGGTAGCTAACTGCGCGTTCGCATTAGTTGTGATTCACCCGTTCAACAGCAAATAACCAGGAGGTATGACTGGTCGTGGCAAGGATTTGGTAAAGGAGTCGCCAAGTGTCATCGGAAGGTTCTGCATGATAACATCCATTCGTCGTCTGGCTCGACGTGGTGGTAAGCTCTTCTCCGGTCTGATGTACGAGGTGTGCCGAGAAAATGTGACCCGTGATGCCGTAACTGAACACGCAGCTGCCTGAGCACGCATCATTATCACCAACAACCAAGTAACAAAACGGCCCTTTTCAGGGCCACCAAGTTCATTTAAGAAAAGAGTTAGAGTAGAATTTTTAAAGAACTACAAAAATAGTTTTCACCATTTAGTCAATGCTATTTTTTCTCATTGATGGCGCTGTTCCATTGATAGTAAGTTAGAAATTTGAAAAAGTGGATGGAACGCTTTGGATGCATATTATGGTCAAAATAAGTCAAAAGAAATCATTCATTGTCGTTCAATTTTCTCCTAGAAATTTTTGATAAATAGTATTTTCTTGCAGAATATGTTAAAAGGGAGGGAAATTTTATGTAATTTTTATGCAGAATATGCCAAATGGGAGGGACCGAGTATAGAATGGTAGAAATATGCGAGACAACAACCAAGATGATGAAAAAGATGAAAAACTAACCAAAATTAAGTACTTTCCCTCAATTTGAGTAAATCGCATATAGTAGTTTCCATTTAACACCAGCAAAAGAAAAATCTACTCTTAAGTATACTCTACCCAAAATCAAGTTTAATTCACGTAAGTTTGAGAATATGCAATTTACTCAAAAGTAACTTATTGGGCTGAACTATATCTTTCCTTTTTTGACAACAATAGAGAGTGCAAGTAAGAGGCTGAACTCAATATTGAGTAAAAAGAACTCAAATTTTGGGTAGTATTTTTCCCTGTATATGTTTTTCCCCCCTTTTCTTTCAGAAATTTTACAAAACTTGGTTGTGTTGGTTCTGCCATGGTTATTGTATTTGGTGGGCTTGTTCCAGTTATGTCGTTTTCGTTTTTGCGGTGTAGCATCGGTGTAGTGTAAGCAGGAATAAGCGCGAGTCTTTGACAGCTCAACATCATTTGTTTGTAAACAAAGGTGCATCCTATATCTAGACCCTAAATTATTTCGGTGTACGGCAGTGTAGCACCGGTGCAGCTACACCGCAAAAGCAAAAACGACATAAATTTCGTATAATTTTAATGCATCACAAGAACTTAAGTTTTCTTTAATTGATCATGATTCAAATTGAAAAGACATAGAGGTTTTGGGCCTACGGGAGAAGAGGTAGTAAAATTATTTTCACTCCCGCGGGATTTGCCCTCAATCAATAAAAAAAAATCCTTCCTTTTAATTAGCTACGGGTGTGACAACGATGGTGAGTTCACTATGTTATATCTTCATTTTATTTCAGAAACCTTATCTTCGAGCTCTGGACGGCAATTTCAATATTTATAAAAAAAAAAATCTAAATTTGCCAGCAACACTGACAGGGTGTATCATATGGCTTACCTTCATTAAATACCCTCACCAATAGATTTTTGCAGAAAACAATTTCATTTAATTTTACTATTATTTCTATCAAAATTACTATGCATTTTAAGCAAGCATAGTAGTATTGTCAGAATCATAGTAAATTTGTTAACATTCATATTCAACTATACTGAATTCATAGTAGATTCAACAGCAATAAGCGTGGTTATA